TCGGTCGGTCGATCGGGCGGCCTTGGGCCGCCTTCGTCGATCGCGCCGCCGTCGCTCCGTCGATCGTCGCCATCGATCGGCCTTGTAGATTGTATTTCTGCTGAGCTAACAAACCTTCACCTTTCCGTGCGTGCGCCAAAAACGACTACAATCGTATGCATCCATGATAACTTCAGGATACACTCGCTGCCACGATGAGGACGTGGAGGAACGCAGAACTAGTGTGCTCAATTGCTCTTGCGATGTGTTCGGTGGTCGAAAAAATCCCAAGGTAATTTGTGCTGGACTGCAGGGAGAGAGCATGCATGCATGAAAATGTTTGCGTCTATCAGTTCCCAGCTGGCTGATGCAGAATAGGGCAATACTCGTTGTTAGCGTTGAGTGGAGTTAGGGGTTTGCCTCCCTGAATCTCACAATTAACGAGTGGCAGCGAATCGTGGACGCAAAACAACATTTGATAGCCACGGAAAACCCAGTTAGCAGTTCTAACGCGTGTTTGGGGTATAGGTTACTCGTATTTAGTGACGCAGCTCCCAGGCAACAGCGAAGGACACTGTTCTTTCCTGTTAGGCGGATGTCTAGTGCACCTTGTTTCTTTCCTTTCGGGATTCAATGGTATGTGAAATAACCCGACATACATGTCTATGTCTTGATGGTGAGTTTTTGTTTTTGATGGAGTTGGGACTTGAACGTCAGCGGTGTAGTAACAGGCAAACCGCGTTCCGCGCCTTTCTAGCGGATACACCTTCAAAACGAGGGGACAGAGAGTTGATGTGGGTGCTTACACCTTGTTCTTGAAAATCAAGCACCTTTCCGCGTGAAAATTTTCTCGAAATTGAACTTCTTCGCTTGGATGGTAGCACAGCTTTGAGTTTGTTTAGGGTTCAATTCGGTTTTCAATTGGAAGTCATGGCCTGACATACACATGGGAGTATCGCAAAATGTTCGACACCATGGAGACCGGTACAATGGGCCACATCTCCCCAACGTTTGTCGAGTATGACCCCCTCTTTCGTTGGCGTCGCGGTGAGATGTTTGGTTTCGGCGGCAACCGACCCGGGTTCGAATCCGTCTCCCACCTATAAATCGTGGGGGACAATAAACACAGACTCCTCAACTTGTTGAACTTCTGGCGACGTGGACGACGTAGTGCACCCGAGAAACACTCCCACCAATATTGTGAAGAAGTGAATCGACTCTCCGCCAGTCGGCCGTGTTCTGGCCACCCCTAGAAGCTTTCTTCTTGCCTAGCACACAAGGCTCCAAAACCGAGGGGTGTAAGTGAGTATAGCCTTCTATACGGGTTACATCCCGCCAACTTTCGTCGAAGGCGATTCTCTCTTTTCATTACGGACAAAATCATTGTCTAGCGTTCTGGTCCTATCCAATGAAACCGTCGATCGCATGGTTGGCCCCCGCCCGTGCGTCACATGCCTCGGCGTCAGGTATCAAGCACGGCTCGATGGAACGAAAACCGGAAAGCAAGCCAAGAAGCAGGAAACACGTAAGCATATGTCCTTCGGGTTGATCGAGCAATATTTTTTCGCTGCAGAGTAGACTCGGCATGGAGGGAAGCAAGGTACATGCCGCGGTTTTTGAAACACACTTGTGAGTTGTTAGCGTTCTCCACACTATATACCAGTGAATCCCCGCGTCGTTTGAACACCCAACCCTCCGCTTCATATACTATGGCCACGTTCACTTGGGCTAAATACATAATGGCCAAATTCACTTGGACAGGTGCTGAGGACGTCATTCCGTTCAACAAGCACGACTGCCCGTACGCCATCCCGAACGTCACAGCAGCTCACAATCAACGACATGACTCGACCATCGAGGGCAACATCGTCAGAGTCACGCATGCCCGGTTCGGCCGTACTGGCAACCGCTTTATGGCTGTGTATCGAAACTTGGCCCTCGGATACTGTTGCAAATCCAAACAGGTAACGGTATGCATGAAAGCGACATTGGGTGAAATAATACATGCTACGTAGCAGGGCTTCGCGCGAGGCCAACTGATCTCCTTCGTGGTGCTGGTAAGGGTATCCCATAAAAGGGAACTCGCTCTTCCTGCAACCCTCTCAGAATGGGGGCTTGCCATGGAGAAGGCCGACAACATCGATGAAGTCTTAGAATCCAGAATATTTGTGCATGTGCGGCACCTTGCTAGGTGTGGCTTCCTCCGAAGGACGACGTACTCGCGCCTGGAATTTTCAATGAGGGGATTCCTGGCCCACGCTGGTTCGATTTTTCCAGCGCTCCGGATGTGGAGGGCGTCGACCTCCGCAGGTGTACCAAGGATATAACATGGAAAGATCGGAAGGCACTGCAGATGGAAGCATGTGAGTGAGCCGAGAGCATGGCGCACGAATATGTTACGCTACGATAACACACAAGGATGACTTCAAAAATCCCTCATCATTTTTGCACTCCCCGCCTCTTGAACCCCTGTCTTAGTTCCTCTCTTCGAACAAAACGCGTTCGGTCTGTTGATCCACTGATGCCCAGACGACTCGACCTTACCAAAGCCTTTTCGTTTCTCTACATCGTTCATTTTCTACCCCAAGTCATGCTCAATATAAGTGGGTAACCCGGAGCGGTTGAAATATCTCCCAATGGTTCGAGATTGTATGGTGAAGGCGCCACGTCTCCTAGACTGCGAGACCGCCTACTACTTTCCGCAGGACATCACCGTGTGCCCGGAAAAGAAGAAAGCCTTTGCGGTCCGGAACGAACGAAAACAACTCTCCGAAGAGAAACCCGACAACCATGACGACGTTGATTTTCGGCCAAGAGGAGGATTGCCAAACACCGACATCGAGGGACGCGACCAAACGACAGCAGGCAGCAACCCACAGAGCGTCAACGAAAACTCGTCCAACAAGGAGCAGGATACCCAACGAACAATTCAAGTCAATCACAACGTCGAACAGGATCGTGGTGGAGCGGGAAACCTGGTACTTCACGTGCGATCTGGCGACATCTTTTTCGATCGGGTTGTCCCTTACAAGGGCCAGGTAAACCAAGCCTCCACTACCAGCGAATTCAACTCCGATCGTGCTTTGATACCGCCGGGTGGTGGGCCACGACTAACGCTCTAATATCGATCATTTTGTTTACCCTCGCGCCCCGCCGTTGAGCGGGTCAACGTCGTTGATGCACCTCCCCCTTTCGATTGGTTAGTTTGCCCTATGTAAGTCGTTTCCTGATTATTGCGACCTTCTGAGTGCTCGGCTCTCTCCTCTTGTGTCCTGTGCTTTGAACAACTATGCGGCCAAGTAGCCGCCTCTGCAGTTCTACATGCTTGTGATAAAGAACCAACCGTGGGACCGCGTCGACATTGTTACCAACGGGGAAAACTGGGAAAACGTGAACCCTGTCATGCCCGCCCTCATGGCCAAGCGGGCAACGGGAGAGCTCCCCGACAACGTTTACTTTCACACGGTGAGTCAATGAAGGTGTGTAGTATTGTATTCCTCTGAAGGTGTTGAAAAGGGGCAGTGTGTGTTTGCTCGAAACGTAAGCGGCGCGGGGAAAGAGCGATAGAACGATGTGTCGTATGCCCCCCAGATAAACATGTTCCTACTATTATCAGGAAGTTCCAATTTCACAGAAGAAGTACGTGGCCTACCGTCGTAATCATCACCACAATAAATTGCCCATCTTTACCGATCATCTGCTCTCTCCATGGGACAGGGTTTGATGTTCTATCAACATCAAACATGCACGTGTTTCTGTTCAACGTCCTATGCGTGCATGTGCTATGTTTTGTCCCGAACTCATTTTGACGACGACACTTTGTGTGTTCACTCTTGATTGAATGGTCGTCATTTTCACTCAGGAACGATCGATGGGCGAGGACCTCCAGGACATGCTTTGCGCCGATGCTCTTGGTGTGGCCAAATCTAGCCTCATAAACTTGCTCGGCTTTCACTCAACCGCGAATCGGGTGTATTATCCGTGGAGGTGTAACGACGAGCTCGCAGAGCTGGCCCGGCTTAGACCAGAGACCGAGGTGTGCATCCCTCTCTATCCGATTCATACCTAGATGAGCAGTGACATGACAAGAAGTTCGGAATGAGTGAAAATCGAAAGCATACAGCGATATTGTTCGCGTGTACTACTAGTTCATGTGTCGCGATATTCTGGCATGAGCCCGAGAGTTATCTACACGTAGGTTCTTCTCTCTCTTTTCACGCCCCACGTTTGCGCTGAATTTCAATCGTCTACTAAGAGATGTCATTCTTCCATGTTTTTCACAACAAGCGCCGGGTAGTCACTTCCTAGACTGCTTTGTACCCGTCGAATTTGACGGGAAAATTTTCACGGAGAAGGGCCTTGCTGGGGAACCTATCATGCGAGAGCCTCAGCCCTACGGAAGCAGCTTCTGAAGATAATGTGCGAAATGTTTTGCCTCCCACACGTACGTCAATTCTATGGTCTGGTGTTCGCTTCGCATGTAATGTGTCCAAGCGTGCGTAGAGCACACCCACGCCGAAGGTGGAGGAATGATGATCGCATACACGAACCACATCCGCCCATCCGATGAGTGCTTGAGGGTCCTGTAGTACCGCCTGCCTTACTTGACATGTAACCATTGTGCGCCTGATTCCTTGGCGTAGGTGTATGGGCTGCCGCTTGATAGGACTGGCGAGTACACCGTCTACCGACATTGGAAAAATACTCCCGCCCAGCGGGCCGAGATGCTGGGGTACAATCTAACAACTGCATTTGAGTTATGCACATAGATATCATACGCAGCAGCATTGAGATAGCGGGTTGCGTGCATTTCGCTTGGACGTTTTTTTGAAGCAGTGTGTCGTCGTGTTCGGGGAGGAGGTCGCTGCGAATTGACGATCATTTGTACTTGTTATTGAAGTTATACTACGTAAAGTAGTGGCACGTGAGGATTTTACATGCTCGTTGCTTGTGGAGCGACTTTCCCCATATGTACGTCGTGCCAGCTGTGTAACTCCGGTTGGTTGCCACCGTTCGAGGCACTGGCTATCTATCTATTTGTTGTAAAAGCACACGCCAACCAAACTACTGTGAGCACTTCGGTATCAAGTGACCGGCCGTACGACGTCGTCGTTCAAATGACGGAGGCGGCGGAGGTTCAGGCACAATGAATGCCGCCATCATTATTATTGTAGAGCACGTCATGTATGTTCGTTCGCGCGCCACCAGAAAAAAACCGGGTATAGTCTAATATGTATGGGGTAGTCTCACGAGCAAAGCCTAATTCATTCATCATGAGAATACCGTGATGGTTCCATGAGTGTTCCTTTCATTCTCTCAGGAGGAGGGGCCGAT